TTGCAGCGTGTATGCATCCAGCCTGGCGGTTCCGAGCACTTGACAGGGGGTCCGGAGGGGTCTTACTTGTTCAAGCCTCTGCCGGCCAGAGAGAGAGCTTCTGGAACTCTGGAACATGAGCAGCCCGGCAGCCTGGATGGTGGATTGCCTCTTCCGGCAGTTGTCCATAATTCCGCCGTCCATCCGCCGTCGTCATTGTTGGGATTGCGAGCTCTCTGGCCTGTCCAGCTGGAGTCTGATGTTGATCAATAATGAGAATCGGTGTGTGCAACTCGATAGGTAATCAGTTTGCTTCCTTCTCTTGCTCGCAGGGGGGTTATGCTTACGATGCCGCTAACTCACCACCCCTACTTCGAATGCGACTAGAGTCAGTGCTAACATCTCCTTGCTTGCTCCATCAGCCTTCGCAAATGCTCCTTTACTTCCGAGCACATTGCTCCAGCGTCATAGTGGGCTGATTTCTGCCACCGGTAATAACAGGTAATACCGATGCTCGCCCCCATTGCCCTTTTTCACCCCAAGCGAGATGTTTCCGTCCGTCTCACTGACAGTCGTTAACCCCCTCACATCGGAGTCGCGGAGTCGCATGCCTACTTAGCTGTGACTATGTGGGGGGACATACAGGGGTAGGCATATCAGATGCAAGGCCAAAGATCCCAGTTGCATCTGATCAACCCCAGAGGGTATGCTACCTACCCCATTGACCAACAACATCCACCACCGAGGGCTAGACCGAGCGGTGTACAGCCACCCCGATGCCAAGGTCTCAAATGCGTCGTGCCAAGATTTCGAAGCATCTCTGTGGTCCGGGTCGGCTTATCGAGCAAGATCTAACCTTCGTTTTAGCTCCCAGAGATGCCAGCTTCCCTCGCTCCCGTACGTGCTATAACTAGTATACCCGTTAGTTTAATGGGACACTTTGGGCTACCCGCCCTTCTTACAAGGAGAAAGGCCGGCACAGACAATAGTGTTTGCTACCATAGACCTGTGAGTAGCTGGTCAAACTTGAAGAAGCTTCAGAACGGCGGCCTACCTTGTTTAGAAGAAATGGGTCCCGGAACACTATGTGCAACTGCCACTGTGCCTGGTGTCAAAGCCAAACCCATTTGCTCGAGTACCTTCACCGGACCCACCGACTAAAGACACGAAAGTCAGGAGGAGGGCATGCGGTGATCTGGTTGGCTTTGCATACAGTTGCTTTTGTCTTTATCGTCTCTCCCTTCTTGTAATTCTACGAAAAGTGGCGCAATGAGGCAAGGTTTTGTGACAATAGGTGTGACCTTTTCGCTGTCTCAACTGAACCAACAGACCGGGTCCAAGATCACTTCTCAGGGGTCCCCGTAAATTTTCGGGAAATAAATATAGCAAGCCAGTATCGCGAAATGACCGAGCATATCCCAACCGGAGATCATTCACGTATACAAAGAAGGGTAGCATACGTGCGGTGACCCCTGAAGTCACTCCGGTAGGGTTCTTGCCCCGTTCTGTGCGCGAGACAGAGCCGCCTTGATCGATGTCAGTCTTCTCAAGGATTGAGTACATCCATTATGGCATATCTTGGCACAGCGAGACCAAGTTTTGGAAACCACTTCACACGATTTACGACTAGAGGCAAAGGGTTATTGCAGGCTAGTATACGCGTATTACGCAGACCGGTGGTGACATGATCCCTGCCTGTATAATAAGTTATGGCGGCAAAGTTGATCGAGATATTGGGGGGGGGACCTACAATATACCAGGCTCCCCTGAGAAGCAACCATGGAGGACCACCGAGTTTCATCACATATGAGATGTGCTAGTCCATTAAGAGAGTTCCAAGATGTTGGCAAAGGTGTGTTAAAGGCGATCAATGCCTGCGGTTGGTTGGAGTAAGATCATTGCAAGTTTCTCCCTTATACCGTTGTTGGAAAGCTGTGAGAACTAAATTTGGACACCGGACCCTTGATTCTCGTGACTCTAAATGTACTTTCTCGGTGCTTCCCTATTTTGAGCCTTCTTGTCTAAGAAAAAATTCGGTCTGGTAGTATCAGGATACTTTATTCACCGAATCATTCTGGTAGAGAAGCTTAGCTTTAGCCCAACGGGATGAGGCGACTCAGGAGGGAGCCAATGTACCATCGCGGCAAGTGCCGGAGATTTGGTCGAATCCGGTCCGTACTGCATGGAAGATTAGATCGAGAGTGCTGTGAAAACGAGAGGGGGGGTCGGAGCCGCAAATGCATACCAGGTCTCAGCTGCAGAGCCAGAGCTGGAGAAAAATGACATGTAAGTTCCAAGATGAGTAATTTTCAGCCTAGGACAGCCTTGGCCCTGTAATTAAGTACGCTCCAATTGTCTGGGCGTTTTTCTCTGACGAATAAACGAAACAATCCAGAGGGTCCAACGTGGGGGGCTCATGTGACGGCGTACCATCGTTTTGCTCACAGCGTTCCAACTCTCTGGTAGCGAGGCCCTATTGGCTGAGTTCAGCCATGCATTACCACTTTTTCAAGCTGGACCGAGACAGCTGATGAGTAGGAAGCTTGGCTATAGCTCAAGGCGTCAATCGACAAGTGATTACACTCTCGTTGACGCGAAGATGTAAGGCCTTGGGGCACCTTGTTATGTTGTCAATGACCGGGGGAGGAGAATACCAGCAATGACTCCGGCTGGCAAAGTCGTTCCTTCAGGGAGGGAGATGTATGGGTCCAGGATGTCAGGGACAATCAGACGATTGAGGCACTGGTTGACTGCCAAAGATAGGAGAGCCGTGGTGCTGGCGATCCACTTGGGTATGCTCAGATCTCTTCGTGTCTCAAAGTTCAGCGAAGTGCCGCGCAAGAAGAGAAATTAGTTGTCTCACCGAGAAGGTGGTTCGATAGCCTGTCTATTGTTCTGTTTTCTTTTTCTTCTTCTCCAGAGTGAGTCGGCGCTATTGAAAGCTCGGCTTCGCACATCCATACTGACACCAGCGGTTGGATGACAGTAAAGGGTAAGCACAAACGATGGCTGCACTAGCCACGCAGTTGGTCTCGAATTGAGCCGCGAGTGCCAGGCTAACAAGGTCGGGCGCACTGTCTTGAAATGTTTCGGCTCGCCCGGGCATGCTGTGGTGCTTCCAGGTCGACTTCAGGTTTGCTTTTTCGACTCTTGATCCACGGTATGTCACCGTGTGTGTGTCGAAGACAAGGTAGAAATTACACGTCAATTTTGAGGGTTTGAGGGACGAAGCGTTCTGGAAGGCCGCTACAACAAGGCAGGTGCACCCAGAGCACTTTCCGACGGATCCACCCACCCACCCACATCACCCACACCTCGTCCGCCTCACCGAGATGCAGCAGCCACGGAGTCTGTCCCACCTTCCCCCTCATGTGACAACCTGCAGCTTGATTCAAGCTCAAGATGGAAGAAGCCCCGGGGCCTCGTCGCCGGATGAGATCCCTCAGATGCGGCCCGCGATATGCACCCCGATGTCGTACAAAGTAACCCGCAGTCTCTGGTCCCAAAACTACTCGAAAGACGGTTCGCCCGACACTTGCCACGAGGCGTGCACCTACCTGCTCGCATTGCTCGGCATCATTTTGGCAACGCGAGGTCACGATAGCAGCTAGAGGAATAAAGCAAATCCAAGGCGGGGTGCAATGTAATCTTACGTATTGCAAACTCACCATGAGCTCTGATACACAGGTCTCAGCTACAGCACATAATGGTGTGCTTGCATGGCGCATTGTTTGCGGGGGGTGGCCAGGGTCTCGAGGAATCTGTAAAGCCAAGCCATTGCTGGCCGCACTTTTGAAGATCATTCACGTCGCCAGCTGATGGTGAGACTCTAAGCACGCAGGACCTGTCTTTTCCGGGAATTCTTGCATGTGATGGCTCTCGGTGTCCAATAAACACCTGGTAGCAGTTGCTGGTTGGGCATCTACTGAAGCCACCGCCTCCTCTCAAGCCTGCACCCAGCCTCAATACCTTAGACAACAACGCAACCCATAATTTTTAGCGGATGTGACCTTAGCGGATGTGATCACTGTCCGAAAATAGAAATATTTTGATCAAAAAGGAATGCTAAGGAAAGCAGACACAGCAAAGAGGACATCCGACATGCCTACCTACACATCAAGCGTCGACGCTATCCGTCCTGGTTGCACCTTTGCGATGACTGAAATGGTTAATGTAGGCACCCTACCTACCTACTATTGTCATGGGTCGATTTTGCTTCCGTCATTGAGTCCAGGAGCCACACCCTTAACGGTGTAGACTAGAATTGAGCATATCGGATAATGGCCTTGATTTCGAGGAGGAATCTCGGGACAGGGACACTTCTCCCTTGATAAGTAAGTACCTACCTAATGTACATGTTTTTGTTGTTACCTTCACGAAATTCTGGCCTTTAGAAAGGAAATCTCTGTGAGGCCGCCAGTTGCTTACCTCGCAGTAAGTGGTGTGGTGGGAAGGAGCGCAAGGCCGTCTAAGTGTGTGATTCAGTGCGCCGATACGGGTGCCTAGCTATTGACAATAAAGTAGCCTAATATATTATTAGTGAGAGTAGAGAGTTCTGAGATGCGGTGAATATCCAAAACGAATCCCATGACGCACAAGGCGAACGAGTTGGCAGAGTACCTGCTCGCTGCTGCTGACCGCCCTCGTCGGACACCGCCCGCAAAGAGCCACTGGCACCCTCTGGAACCAGCTTCTTTCTGCCTCTCGTTGCGGCCATCGCATTCACTGAAATCGCAGACCGCTTTGGCGGCGCATTACCTTTACGCGTCGCGTCGCGAAAACCAAATTGTCCTCCTCGCATTTCGAAGCCTTCTCCACCCCGCTTCACTCCCATCAACTCTCTCTTTCTCTGCCAAATACCCTGCAAACAGCATCTCTTAGAAGTTCCCTCGAGGGTCTCCATTATTTATTGATATTGGTCTTCACTTACCTATCTGATCACCTAACAAGTTCTTGGGTCTTGAGCGCAAACAGCCCCTTTACCCGAAGTCGAGAGCCCAAGGGCTCCAGCCACTTTAACCATGTTTTACAGTCATGAGAGTAAGCTCGCATTCCTATACTTCGGTCTAAAATCAGGTCATCTCGAAGCTGACACTAGAATAGTACTAACCAGCACTCAATATGGAGTGGCGACGATTTGGTACGTCTCGCCCCCTTCTACCCTAGCCTGGATGTCACTTGGCGATACCATTATCAGGACTAACTTGAACAAAGGCTCGTCGCCACCGTAGGAAAGGGGACCCAAAAGAAGGTGTCTAGGAAACTTATCCAAGAAGTCAATGTGCCAAGGGCATGCGAAAAGATTCTAGATCCGGGAGCCCCTCTTGCCTTGCGATTGCAAGCAAGCCTGCTCTATGGCGTCTCGCGCGTTTTCTCCCAACAATGCAACTATGTCCTATCAGACGCCGAAAGAACCCAGACCGAAATGGTTTCCTATTTCAAATCCATGCAGCAAAGCGAGATTGATCCGCAGGCCGGAAAGACAAAGTAAGTTTGCGTTGTGCCTTGTCTGTCTAGAGTGGTTTAGTCCAGTACACTGACGCTTCTCCCAAAGGCGACACAATATCGTCCTCGAAGATGATCCTACCTTTGATCCGTTGGCAGCTTTGCCTCAGCTCGACCTGCTGAAGTGGGATGTCAGCCAAATCCTGCAAGCAAGCAACACCTCGAGTAACCAATACTCCCACCTCACGCCCCTCGCAAGCCAGAACAGCGGTTCTGTAGGGCGCAAGCATTCCCGGCTCAGCATCAACCTCCCTGAATCTTCCCTCTCAGCTCGGAGCTATCATATCCCCTCCGACTTCGGCCAGCAAAGCCCGTCTGGGTTCAAACCATTCCACCGCGGCCTGTCAGCAGACGTTAATCCTTTTGACGACGACGACGCTCTAGGTGGCATGATTGGCCTCGAAATAGATGCAGATGGGAACATCCTTGAACTCCTGGACAATGAACCTGTCCTCCCGCCTCTTCCAAACCCAGAAGACATCGAAATGGGTGAGGACTTTGAGCAGCAAAATACAAATAACCGCCTTGCCAACAATTTCGAGGCGCTGGTGTTGGGAGATGAGGAAATCCTGCCTAACGCAGAAGCGTTCCCCATCCAAGCTAAAGCAGCAAACCTGGATCGCCCCCCATCGTCAACACCTTCCCTTGTACCATCTTCTCCCAATATGCAGGTTGCACACAGCCGCAAGGGGCGCCCCCGCAAGGCGAACGTCCTGCTTGACGAGGAGGAGAACGTTTCCTATAGGGAAATGGAACGATGGGACTTGGAGTATCTAGACAACATGGACGCCGTACGCAAAGATCCTGCGAGAGCCACTCTAGGCCAAGCAAAGAGAAACGCCCAAGCATTTTTATTCGACAATGGCATTGCAAATGTCGGCTTAGGCTCTGTTCCCAACCCCCTTGCGGAGGATTTTGCCGGCCATCAGTTCATGGCCAACCTTCTAGGGCCAGATTTTGCTGACCAGTTTGCTGGCAACCAGGTCAAAGAGAGACGTGGACGTCGCAAGAGATCCGAGGCTTTCACGCCAGAAGAAGAAGCGAAGAGCCAGGACGAGCACTTGCCAAAGAGAATCAACAATGAAGAGGTGGAGATCGCACGCAACGAAGAACCTCTCGTCCTCGGCGAGGAGCCAATCCCAGAAATCGGGATGGGCGCCGCCGGGCCCCTTTCAGATCGACACTCCTCTGCCATCATGCCCTGGTCCAGACAGGGCTCAGCCATTCCGGGCTCATCCGTGCGTGGATCTGCCCAGAAGGCCGGCCACGGGAGCATCCTTCAATCGATCGAGCGGTACAGCGATGTAGGCTTTGGTTCCGATTTCAGTGCCCAAGTGCCTCTCCAGGTCGCTTAGGCAGGACCGAACGGAGATAGCCACCAGGCGAATGAGGCCGGTGCGGAGAACGCACACAGCCAGAGCGGCGGGCTCGACGTCGCGAGCCAGAACTTCCTGGAATACGCCACCGCGGAGGCGGACAAAGTCGCCGCCCCAGACAACAAGGGACGCACTTGGGTCGATTTTGAACAGCTCGCTACTCCCGGCGTGCACGACAAGCACACCGCCGCGCAGGCGTTCCTCCACGTACTGTCTCTGGCGACAAAGAATGAGATTTCTGTTCGTCAGGCCGGCAGCCGTGTCATGGAACCGTTTGGAGAAATCCACGTCGGCTTGCCGTCTAGCAGCCGAGGTGCTGCACGTGGAGAACGTGCCGAGTGAGCGAAGAGGACGGCTTCTGCCGTTGAGATGATTAGAATCTCAGAATCATGATCGGCGTTTCGGATACTCATGAGGCTATTGACTTTAAAACATGCACAGGGCAGGATGCTCTTGGGAATATGGTGTTCAGTTTTGAAGCATCGACTATCTTGGAAGTGGCGTTTAGTGCTATTTGAAAACTTCGCAGACTTTGTGCTCGAGGAAGTGAAGCATTGCGAAAAGAACTACGGAGGCAATCTCTCACGTTAGCAATTGGGATCATCGGCTCAGTTTATTGCAAAGGGTTCAGGGGTTTCATCCAAAGTTTGTATTTCATTATTCATTATATCCGCTGGTCTAGTCAAATGGGTCATCATCAACACCTTCGCGATCCTCGAACGTCATATAGCCAGCTCCATCAGTAGCCTCATCAGCACGGGTCACAGCGTCCCACGCCGCGCGAACATGATTCATAACATCATCGTTGAAGGCTAAATCTAAACACGACTGTGGCATACGAATGATGGGGCCATCCACCTCAACCGAGGAGGAGGCGGTCTTTTGTTCATAGTAGACCTGGAAACTTGAACTGGGAGCGTCGCCATCAATGGTAATTGTAGACAGCAAGGACGAGAGGGCTTCAACTAAGAGCCCATGGGAGTCGGCGGAAGTAACTGTACTTAAATACACAACACCTATAGCAGTCATGTTAGCGAGTGCTTCGAACAAAAAGTCCCAGAAACATGATGAATAATGACAAGGTGTGAATCAGGTTGTCAGAGTTGTAATCGTCAATGAAGTTCAGACAATGTAGATAAGTATTCGTAATAAGTGAATCATCCTAACACGTGGGATAAATCCCGAAAAGAAGAAGAAAAGAAGAAAATCTTTACTCACATTTGGAGGATGGACATTCGCCAGTGTCGCTAGAATGAATCATGGCGTAGATGGGATAAGTAGAGACCTGGCCATCTTTGGTCGAAACCGAGGACGGAGGGAAGGCTACGACAGCCACGGCTGGAGTAGGGGCCCCTTCAATAACAACATTGAAGACCGAGGAAAGTGAAGACTCCACTACAGCCGTCAGTCTGCTCAGTTGAATATCGCTGTTCACTTTTTCAGTGGATTGGACAAGGAGCTTGGTTTGAACGTCAATGTCGTTCGTGAGCGCTATTTGGAGCACTTGCTCCGCGTCGTCACCTTCAGGCTTTGACACCTTCTTCATCCCCGTACCCAGCATGTACACGGCGCCGCCAACAGCAGCTGCTCGGCAGCCCACTTGAGCGACTTCAGACAGGCCACCGTACTTCGGATAGATAGCAGCAAAGCCCGCACCAAACAAGCCCATGGATGTCATATGCTTATAGATGATCGCCAGACCGGAAGCAACGGAAATGTTTCCATCGTGACTCAAAGTAAGCGTAATGACGTAGGACTGCAGCTTGGTATCCAGCTTGAACTGGGACTTGAGAAAGTCAACCAGTGGTGCGTCGGCATGAGGCTTCCAAAGTTCCGCCTGCGCTTCCGATTCGTAGTCCAAGACAAACTTGAGGAACTTCATGAGCGAACGCTTCGACTTCGCTGGGATGGCAGTATTTGAAAACACATCCTCGCGGGTCGAAGGGATTCTGCTCAAGGATGCGACGGGCTCGGAGTCGGAAGGAGGTTGGAAGATGTAAAACGAGCCCACGGCGAGGAACTCAATCTGCCTGAATGCCTTGGAGGACACCAGTTGCGAGATCAGTTCTGCCTTTGTGTGAACAAGCTGGGGTGCCAGGGCCAGGCTATACGCTCGCGGAGAGGCTGGTCCTTGGCCGTCCTTCGTGACCTGCACCTTGGAAAAGACGCTGTTGGGACTCGCGGATTGATGCTCAACAGCCCACTCTTCCACCTCTTGCAGACTCAGCGCAGCCTCGGCCTGTCCATAGTACTGATTCGGATCGATGTGAAGAATGTTCTTGCCAGATCGCGATAGGGCACTTTGAAAAACGAAGGCAGACGAGTCAGCCAGAGTTGCAGGCACGCGCCGTTGACCAATGGAATCCAAGCTTACAGGGCGAGAAGGGACTGCTGTAGCCCAGTGCCGCTGATCACTACATCCCACTTGGTGTCTGAAAGGGATTCCATGGTTCGAGCATTCCCCGTCGCGAGGGAGGAAGGAGAAGGATGTCGAGAGAATGGAAAAGGAAGAGAAAAGCCTGGTTCCAAAGCAAAGGCTGAAAGAAATTTAGCTGACTACTAGTGTCTCCATAAAATATTTGGCCGACGACAGTGGAGCCCCACAAACTGCTCTTAAAGAGGCTGGCCAACTGCGCGCTCTAATTTTCTGTCTTTTTCTTCTCTTCACCCGCTCATACTTCACGCCGTGTCTAACAGCGTCTTTTCACTAAGGCGCCTTGTGTCACATGCGAGTTCGAAATTCTTTTTCGCTGAGCGGTAGATGGAGTTTTGTCTGCCGGTATCTACTGCCCTAGATCGTTGATGTGATAGGGTGGTTCGAATGGTTGGCACATTTTATTTTTCTAGTCTATGTGTTTGTCCTCTTTGCATCTCACCCCGAAGCTGATATTTTTGGCAAGAAATAATGTGTGCATGTCGTCGTAATATTTTTGTCAATGGATTTCCAGTCATGGGTATCATATCCTAATCTAAACCTGGCTATCAATGGCTTCCGTAAAGCCCTTCCACCGCGCTGTGATCCAGCTGATAAATGCCTTCGAAGTCAAAAGCTTGGTGTTCAGACTGGTGCCACCCTGCTTGGAGATGGACAGAATTTGAGCACTTCCACAGCTGCAGTCGACGACAATTGTGATGCTCTCGTCGCAAAGAGACTCTTCTAGAGTGTCGGGGTCGGCCAGCAACCAGTAGCGGCTCTCGTCAGATTGATCAGTGTCCTTTCCTGTGAAGACGACTGCGGTGCATGCAATCGGCTTTCCCTGGAGCGTAAGAGGTCTCGGGTTTTCTCTCGAGCAGATAACCAGCTCTCTATCCTGGTCGAATCGTGCTTGTGGAAGTTTGGTGTCTCGCAAGGCGGCGAGTGTAGCAGCCCAAGCTGCATCGAAGGGGTTGCCATCGAAGGATATAAAGAATATATCAATGTAGAGCACCCAATAGGCCACGACTTGCTTCTTGCTGCTTGCCGCATCCTCTTCATTATCATCATCATCCTCGTCATCCATTTTCTCGTCCTCTTCACCGTAGCTTTCCTCTGACCGGGTATGCCATATTCGTAGATCGTCGGGTTGAACGAGTTTCGAGCTGTGCAGTAAGGAAAAAATTCTCGTGCTCAGGGTTTGAGCAAGCGTTGTTGGCGGGCCGCCGGGCAGAAACTGAGGTGCAGATCCAGTTGCCAATTCGATATTAGGGACGAGGAGGTCGTATTCTGTGAGCTCTGTCTCGGTATTTGACTCTCGAAAGCTGGGAATGTTGGATGTAAGGATCGTCTCGCCGCGCACACCACAGATAACCGTGGTATCACCCATACGCACGACGGCGCTTCCGTGTGCATGTGACAAACTCGATAGATTTACGGTCGGGGTCCGTACTTCGCTGGGAATGCGCCCATTGCTTCTCGCAGGTGCCGCATCGTCGGAGGGATCGAGGTTTGCCAACAGGTATGGGTGAGGGGAGAGCTTTGCAAACGTTGCTCGCGACAGCCCAGCTTCGGGTGCCATTACGTTTTGTGGATTTGTGAGATATCCAGAACTTGTAAGGTTCAAAATTCTATAGGCCGGAAGAGACTATCGAGATGTGATTTGGTGATCTTCGAGATCGCTGGGAGCGTGGCAGCAGAAAAATTGTTTCGTCACTGCATCTAGCCTCGCGGCCAGAAACACGGAGTGGGGCAAGGCTGAGCGAATGGTTTGGCTGAGCCCAAGGGATAACAGCTACCCTAGGGCTTACCATTTCGTTATCTACCTAATTGAGGCGAGATAGGATCCAAGAACGCTAGAAAAGGACGCAAGGGCAACAATCAATTCTAGTGTGTTTTCCTAATCTTGGACAGTCTTTTCTGTTAATAATCAATTTTGATTCTGCTATCCAAGTGCAGGTGCAGGTTGCGTGCGGCAAAACCAATCCTTGTGCTTTGAGTCATCCCTGGAAAAGAAAAAGTTGATAGCAACCCATCACACAATGAGCGAGTCAACAGAACTAGGGGAACTTCACGGCCAAGTTGTAGGAGCTCTAGCCTGCCAGTGGGACTCGTACCTTGAGAGCTTAGATGCTGTAGTTGTGTCATGCGTCAAGAAGGAGGCTCCTCCATTGCAGAATGGAACCAAGAAGAAGGCAAAGGCTTCCAGTGAGGTGCAGAAGGATACTTGGTTGATTGAATTTTCAGACTCGGTACTTTTTCCAGAAGGCATGTTTTATCCTAATAACTTTACTAGACAACCTTGGTACGAATGATTTACTGACTGGATGGTGTGCGAATTTTAGGAGGCGGTCAGCCTTCAGATTATGGAACACTGCAACTTTTATCCGACACCAATTCTGAGGCCATCCCTATCAAGTTTGTAGAGAGGCTCGGGCTCCGATGTGTGTGTCATTCGCCCCAGCCATTGAAGGTGGGCGAACGTGTCCGCCAAAATCTCGATGTCAAGAGACGGTGGGACAACATGCAGCAGCACACCGGCCAGCACCTTCTGTCTGCTGTGATGAACAGCTACGACGGCCTCAACACACTCGGGTGGGGGATGGGAAGCGAGGGCGATATGAACTACGTCGACCTTGCACGCAAACCCTCAGAAGAGGAGATGGAGGCCATCCAAGCACGCTGCAATGAAATGATATCGGAAAACTTGCCCATCGCCGTGGATACACCTTCGAACGCCAAGCAAGACCGCTTACCTGGGGACTATGATAAGGGCAAAGGCGTCATCCGTGTCATCAGCATTGGAGGCATCGATCGTAACACGTAAGTCCCCGCAGTTCCACGCCCACAAACACGCCAGTCACTGACATTGCATGCCCTCAGCTGCTGTGGCACCCATCTTAGGCAGACGTCTCACATATCCCTTATA